GAGGGGTAGAGGGACACTCAGGGGCTTCCCACCCTGGACTTCTGACTCTTAACGCAGTGGTGGCAAACCTATGGCGCGAGAGCCGCAGTGGGCTATTTGTATCACTGGAAGCTTTAAAATGTTCGCCATCACGGCTGTGGACCAACTCTGGTTACCCTTCCCCTGCCGCGTTACCCAGCCTGGCTCCACAGGAAACCAAGTGCACCGCCTCCAGCAGAGCCCTCTGCCCCCGACGCCTTGTGTTCCTGCCTCTTTTCCTACTTTTTTACCAGGAGGGTCTCTGACTCTCTCCCTACCTGCCTTCTCTCTTCCATTCTCTTTCTCTGCCGGGTGCTTCCCTGCCTCCCCATCTGCCTCCTACTCTGCTCTCTCTCTCTCCCACTCTTGGGCCACCCTCTCCCTCCATCTTGCTGCCCCCCAGCTCCACACAGCTCACCCTTTTCTCCTCCTGGTCCCGCCAGCGGGCCAGCTCCTGGGAGGCCAGCTGGACTGAGCTCATCCGCACCAGGTTGTGGGGGGTGACATCTCCACGAACTACTTTGAGAAACAGGTCCTGCAGGGACAGGGGGCAGAGGCCACACACGCCACGCTGAGCGCTCCTGCCCCAGCATCCCATCAGCGCATGGCGCCCTGGAGGCAGAGCCTGGCCCAGGCCAAAGCCCACTCACTGGGTTTCTGGGGTCCCGCAGGTTGAAGAGCAGGCTGCGATACTTGGTCTTGTAGCGGCAGGTGGTGCCCAGTGTGAGGTCAAAGAGGGCTGCTTCGATGTCAGCAGCGATGCCCTTCACCCCCTCCTCACTCAGCCCCGGGTCGGGAAGCTCCTGAACACTGTGGGGACAACGGCAGGGCTGAGGGCACATGGGGCCTGTGGTTACCCCGGCACTTAGCCCCAGGGGGAGACGTGTGGGTGGGAACAGGATCTGGGCGAACTCGCTCCTGCATGGGCATTTTCCTAAAGGGGCTGGTTTAGCAGTCTCATCCTAACTCTGTGAGAAAAAAATATGGCTGTGCTCCCTTCACAGGGGGCTGAGGTGAAGAGACCAAAGCCTTACCCAAGCTCCCCTGACCAGTGGCAATGCAAAATTCAAATCCACACGCCTCAGCCCATGCTCTGTCCCTGGCCCCCGGAGCTGGGAAGCGTGAGGAGGGGAGGAAGGGGTGTAAGGCATCAGCCAGAGGGAAGATGGAGGCGACCCTCAATCTGTCACTGATTTGCTGTGTGGCCCCTGCAAAGTCTTGCCCTCACTGAACCTTCATCAGTAAATGATAGCGCTCGACTTCCATCTCTCACAGACTCGTTGTGCCGGGAAGCATCTGCTCCAGGACATCCACAGGCCCTGAGCAGACTCTAAGCACTGCACTGTCACAGACATTAGCTAAAGGGAAGGCAAGACTTTGAAGCCAGAGACACTCAGGTTCAACTGTCAGCTCTCCACCAGCTGACTGTATGAGCCAGTGAGCTCCGAGTTACTGAGTGGGGTTAGTCACACACAGAAGCCTTCAGTGCCTGGCCTACCCCAGGAGGCAGCACCCCTCGAGGGCAGCCGTCAGAACTGTGGGGCTGGGGATTTAGCTCAGTGGCAAAGTGCCTGCCTGGCAAGCACAAGGTCGTGAGTTCGATTCCTGGTACCGGAAGGAAAAAAAAAAAGAACTGTGGGAAAGCAGGGTAAAGGCCTTACCGACTCCACAGCGCCTCCCACAGGACACGGACCACAGTGGCCCGTATGTCAAGATCTAGGGCGATTATCTCCTCTCCGGGCTGAAGCTGAGCTGTGGGGAGAGAGATGTAAGCGCTCCAGGGTGCGAAGAGGTGCAGGCCTGAGGGGACAAGCAAAGCCCCTCGCCCCTAGGTTTGGAAGCTGAGCACAACCAGCCAGCAGCCCCACCTCTTTGCGGAGGACGTCAGGCTGATGAGGAAAGGGACAAAAGGATTCCAGGAGGGACCGCCTCGCCCCTGAACCCTCCCACTCCCAGCAGCTCCCTCCGCAGCCCTCACCTGAGTCCTCTGCCACTGCTGAAAGAGGCTCCCCGTTGACAGCCTCCTCTGGGCCACCCTAAAGGGGGAGGGGAAGAGCTGAGGCCCAGGGAACACTGCTTCCTGCCTGCTCCCTGACCCACACTGAAGCTACAGAGCCATGTGGCAGGGACAGCCCCACTCACCCCTGGACACCCCTCAGTCACAGAGGAAGGGACCCTGAAGGGCAAGGAGCAGTTTTTCTGGGGGAGGGAGGTGCCAGAGAGGCCCCCAGAGTCCCCTGCTGTCCCTCCTGAAGGAGACAGCTGGGACTCCTGCGGCAGCAGGACACGCTGGTCACCCAGGATTGAAGACCTGTGACTGCAGCCTCTCCAAATGCACGCCAGCCAATCCCTCGCTCCCACATTCAGATGAAGAGCGCACAGCCGGGCCAGCCCGGCACATGGGCGCTAACCCACGCCTGGCTATTCTGTGTGACCCTGAGCAAGCAACAGCCACCGCTGGCCTCAGTGAGAGCTCTGCGAATCAGGGGGCAGCTTCCCAGCAGGATTAGGCGATGTCACCTGTGGAAGGAAGCCGGCTGTGTACCTGGCCTCCAGCGGGGCCCCGAGCCACAGGCCTTTTCCTGGTTCTGGGTTTCTGGGAAAGTGAGGCAGAGCTGATCTCCATGAAATTCTCCAGAGCCTCCAGCTGTGTTGGCTGCTGTCCCCCTGCATGGCTGTGGCGGATGGCGCCCCGCAGCCGGATCCCTGCCTCAGAATCTACCTGCAGGGGGATGAGACTTCAGACCCCGCCCCGCAGAGCCAGCCTCACCAGCCAGGCTATGTAAGCTCTGTGAGGACAGAGCATGCGCCTGTCTTGGCATCCACTGTCCTCCCAATGTCTGCAAAAGGCCTGGCATTTAAAGGGTTCAGTGAATGTCTGTGGACTGCTTCTCGCCCAGGAGAAGAGCTGTCTCCTTTTCCCCTCTGGCCCCTGGCACGTTCACAGTTGACTGGACCCTGTTCTAGGGTTCTTCTCCCCTTTCTTCCAACCGGAGATATATCTACCTCCTCCTGCTCAAAACTCGGTCATACCCTCTTCGGGGTCACTAACTTGTTCTTTACCCCTCCCCAGAAACAGCTGCCCACAGCCGTCCCCCGCTAAAGGCTGCTGACCACTCCTCTTGCTCCTGAGAGAAATCCCTCCATAACCACCTAAGATGGGAAGCCCATTTTGGTCTTTTAATGAGCTATGGAATCTATCCTGCTTCCCTTTTGGCTGTGGCTGCTAGGAAACTCAGTATTAATTTTGAAACAAGAAGGTATACATTTCCAGAATTGGTAAAAAGTAACAGGTTTCTGGAACAAGATGTGCCATCTCCTCCTCCTTTTCTTTGTTTAGGCCTTTATTCCATTTTAAGCGTGATTCCTTTAATGTATTTGCAAACCACAGATGTTATTTTGAAAGCAGGTGTGTCCAAAAACTAACCCTTCAATGAATGATCATAGAACGGTCAGGCTGCAAAGTATGGGGGAAACTAGAAATCTAAGCTTCAGCGTCCTAGAGGAAGGGGAATGCTGGGCTGCCCAAGAGGAGGGCAGGCCAGGGGACAGGCTGCTTCCGCCCACCCACCACCCCTGAGCAAAGGGAAGGAGAGGACAATAAAAAAAAGTAAACACCTACATAACACACATTCTTCACCCCACAGGGCATTTTTACTTCCTCCTTGGAGCAAAAGAGGATACAGAGATTAGAATCCAAAGGACCCTGTGACCCCCTGGCAGGGGATTCACAGGAAGATGCTCTTTCTGAAAGGAAACACGCGTTCACTGGGTTGGCATTTGTAACAAAAAAGCTGGGCACAATCCAATGTCCATTAAAAGGGGAAACGGTTAATAAACGGTGACACATCGCACTATAAATTCAATGTGGCCATTAAAAAGGGTGAGGGAGTCATAATAAAAATTACCTTTTACTTGGGCTTATAAAGTAGCCGGCCCTGGAGGAGGCACATCATGCATGATCTTATTAAGGTTCAGAACAACACCAGGAGGATTCATTGTTTCTACCCTACCGCTTTACGGATGAGGAAACTGAGGCTCAGAGGGGCTCTGAAAAATCCTATACTAAGCTGCACAGCTAGTGCTATCTGACTCCAAGGCCCCAGCACCTAACCAATGGGCTGTGAAAAGATTTGTGAAAAGACATCATAATGTATTACGGGGAGAAAAAGAAAAAAAAAAAAAAACCCAGGTTAAGGAACAATGTTGCATAAGCCCATTTATGTAAATATATATTTATAGATGTGTAATAGAAGTTATCTCTGGGGAATGAAATTCCAGAGAGACTTTTATTTGCTACATGTACAACACTTGGATATTTATGTTATTCAAAATGAGCATGTATTTCTTCTATAATCAGAAACATATTTTTTATTAAAAAGCAAGTGCAGAACAGTATGTGTAGTATGTTACCATTTGCGTTGCAGAGAGAATGAAATTTGAAATTTGTGTTTGCTTGAATACGCATAAAATACCACGGGAAGTATCCACAGAACCTAATCACCCGCTGCCAGTGGGAAGTGCCTGGTTGCTGGGAGGGAGCTTTTCATTTTTCTTTTTTTTTTTTTAACCATGAGAATGAATCAGCCTTTCAAAAAAGTAATTGAGAAAGAGGGAGGCAAAAAGGAAAACAGGGGACATCTGGGGAAAAAGGCAGGAAAGATATTAAGACCAGCCCTTCACAGTTTAAAGCCTTTAACTCAGCTCTGTCCTCAGGGGTCCCTAACATCAGTGTTTCGGCTCAAAACAACAGGCAACAGAATAAGCAAAGACTTTAGATGCTGGATGTATCGGGCCAGAATACAAAACACACACATATAATATGTTTAAAGAAATAATAGAAGTCAAATACGTGAAAGGCAAAATGCCCCCCAACCTCCCCCCAAAACAGGCAGATTTGGTTGGGAACCAAAGACAACTTCTGGAAATAAAAAATATAAGCATAATTAAAATTTAAAACTATGTAGCCAGATGTGGTGGCACATGCCTGTAATCCCAGCACTTGGAAGGCTGAGGCAGGAAGATCACCGCGAGTTCAAGGTCAGCCTTGGCTACATAGTGAACATAAAGCCACAGCAAGTACTACACAGGGAGACCTTGTCTCAAAATAAATAGATAAAAACTCTATGTACAGGCTTAATAGCATATTAGATACAGTTGAAACAAAAAAGATGGTAGGAACAGATGCAAATAAATCAGCAGCTACAAGAAACTTAAATGAACTAATAGTTCAGATAAATACAGAAATTACCAATCTTTAAAGAAAGAAAAAATAATTATATATAAAAAACTATGTCTAAAATAAAATGATCCAAAAAAGTTAAAAGAAAAAGTGGAGTAATAGGTGAACAAGAATATATCAACCGAAATAAAGCTCTGTAACTATATTAACAGCAGATAGGGGCTGGGGATATAGCTCAGTGGTATAAGTGCCTGCCTGGAAGCGCAAGGCCCTGAGTTCAATTCCCAGTGCCACGGGGTGGCGGGCAGGGGGTGGGGGGAAATAGCAGATAAAACAAACTTCAAGGCAAAAGCGACTAGAAACTAAGACCTCAAAACGTCAGGATAAGCAGTTTCATCAGGAAGCTATAACAACTCGAATTTACAGGCATCTAGGAACCGCATCTCAAAAACTGTAAAGCAAAAACTGACAGATCCGCAAGTAGAAAAACAAATTCACCATTGTAATATGCATGTATCTTTGTTCTTCCCTTCCTTTTTTCCTTTATTTCCTTCCTTCCCTCCTTCTTTCCTCCCTGCCTCCCTGCCTCCCTTTTTTTCCTTCCTTCCTTCCTTCCTTTTTCTTGCTATGTTGCCCAGGCTGGCCTCAGACTCCCGAGTTCAAGCAATCCCTCCTAATATATAGACATAGGATAAGTACTAATCCAGCTGACAAAATAATCAGTAAGGATAAAAAGACTTAACAAAAACAACATTAATCAGCATATATCTATAACACCACTCCTCTAACAACTAGAGAAAACATATTTTTCCAAGTATACATGTAACATACATGAAAACTGAGGACAGGGTAGGCCATAGAACAAATATTGACAAATTTCAAGACTTTAGTATTTTTTACACCAGCACTGCCCAACAGAAATAAGACATAATATTATTTCCGGCAAAGAGGAAAGTAAAATTAATTTTATATTTTATGTAACTCAATATATCCAAAATACTACCATTTCAACATGTAATCAATACAAGAAACCATTAAGATCTTTTTACATTTTTGGTACTAAGTCTTTGAAATCCAGTGTGGACCCTACATTTACGTATATGTCAGCGTGGACGAGCCAAATTTCAAGTCCTCAATGGACACAAATGGTGAGCGGCTGCTATAGCAGACGAGTCATGAACGCCACCTTCTCTGACCACGGTTAAAAAGTAGTAACAACAGCAAGCGAATATGCTTGGAAACCAAGACTGAAATAACACACAGCTCCAAGAAAAGTCTTAATGAAAATTACAAAATATCGAGGTGAGTCATGATAAAAAAGACTACTTAAAATCTGTGGATGCAGCAAAACTAATATTTAAAGGCTCATTTATGGTTTTGATTGAATTTATTAGAAGGAAAAAATTTATGAAGCAAGAATCATTTTTAAATTGTCATAAAATAACAGAGTAACTTGAAAGAAAGACAACACTGAAAACATGCATAAAATGAAAAGACCAATAAAACCAAACACTCACTCTGTGAAAAAGCAATTCTCTGGCAAGACTGATTAAGGGATGGCTACGGTACAGATGGATGATGTTCGGAAAGAGTAATTTATGAACGCACATACATTAAAAAGACAAGAGGAGACTCCGGAGTCTGAGGGAGGAGGAGATCTTGTCTCAAAATAAAATGTAACAGGGCTGGGGATGTAGAGCCATAGCCCAGCATGTGCAAGACCCTCGGTTCAATTCCCAGCACTGCAAACAAACAAAAAAAGACAAAAGGCTACTGTGAAATATTTCATCCAATATGCTAATGAATTTGAAAATACAGATGAACTGGATAAACAGCTAGAAAAAAAAATCTACTAAAATTGACTCAAGAAAAAAATCCCCCTATAACCACAATACAAACTGAATCAATAGAAAGGAAACATCTTGCCTGAAAGAAAACACCCGTTCAGACATTTTAAACCATCCATGCTCCCAAAATACCCAAAGACCAAACAGCTCTAACCTCGGACAAATCATTCCAGAAAACAGAAGAGAAAACAATCTGCAATTCATTCTGTGAAACTCGCAAAACCTTGAAACCAACACCTCACAAGGTTAGCTTGAGAACAAATTATTTCAGGCCTGTTAACTCATCAAGTGAAATACAAAAATTACAAAGTATTATCAACATGAATTCAGAAAATATCAAAAAGAGCATTACCAAGTTGGATTTGTTCCAGGAAGGCAAGATTGTTGTAACATTCTTTTAAAAAACTCATTACATTTACTACATTAATAAATTAGAGAGTAAAAAATCATATTATCTCAAAAAATGGATGAAAACATATTTGATAAGATGCACTGTGCACTCAGAATAATTAGCAAGCCAGGAGCAGAAGAAAGCTTCCTTAACCCGATAAAAACATCGATAGAAAAACACAGCAGGCATCACACTCATGGTGAAATGACCAAATTTTCTTTAAAATCCAGAGCAAGTTAAGGGTGCCTGCATCACATTTCTAGTTAATGTCACACTGACAGCTTTAGAAAGCACAGCAAGGA